AAACTGGGTATCTTACCGAGCGTTGCATTTGCACTGCAAAAATCTGTGAAATTACGGCAGGCGTTAAACAACAACAAAAAACTCCAGAGGTAGATTTGTCGATTTGTTTTTTTTTCCTTCGTGTTTTGGGTCAAACACTGGAATGTGAGAATTATCAATGATTAGTTAAAGTTGCAGTGTAAATGCAGCTACTAAAGAATATTTTTTGCAAAGAAGCGTTTATACCGCAATACGGATTACTGAGGATCTGGTTGATAGTGATTCAATAAAATGGCTCCGCTTATGATGCTTTTGAACATGTTATGCTTGGCTATTACAAAGGTTTGATACTTGACAAACATGTATATAATGAAAATGAATCTGAAGATGCCAGAGTAGCATTTTTTTTAAAGAAATGTTAGACCTTCGTGTAAATAGCATAAAGCTTTAAAAAGTTATCATAAGCAAAGCATGCACGGTAATGCGTTGAACCTGAAACATGCCCATTTGTGTTGATGTTGTTTACTAACATTAAAATCGTCAAAAGAAAGTCCAAACAGATTTTGACATACACGAGACTAGAAGCCATGTTCTAATATTGAAAATGATCTAAACATGTTATTGAAAAATATGAACAGGAAAAGATTTATTCAAATATGCAAGTGAATATTTCCTATACTATATTTCAATATACATATTCATGTATGCAAGCCTTATATAAATGGGGTCTATTCGCTATTCATAAGGACCGCTATTCATAAGGTCCGCTATTCATAAGGACCGCTATTCATAACGCGTAAATTCCCGTACTTCCGGGTCCGCTATTCATAATGGCAAAAGAGGGTCACTATTCATAATGAAATAAGGTTCGTTAATCATAAGGACCGCTATTCATAACGTGAGATGAGGGTCGCTATTCCTAATTCATATTAAGGGTCATTAATCATAAGGACCGCTATTCATAATATGAAATCAGGGTCGCTATTCATGATACGACGAGAGGGTCGCTATTCATAATACGAAATAAGGTTCATTACTTATAAGGGTCGCTATTCATAACACGGGAAGAGGGTCGCTATTCATAATAGGAAATGAGGGTCGCTATTCATAATAGGAGAAGAGGGTCGCTATTCATAATAGGAGAAGAGGGTCGCTATTCATAATAGGAAATGAGGGTCGCTATTCATAATAGAAGAAGAGGGTCGCTATTCATAATAGGAGAAGAGGGTCGCTATTCATAATAGGAGAAGAGGGTCGCTATTCATAATAGGAAAAGAGGGTCGCTATTCATAAAAGGAGAAGAGGGTCGCTATTCATAATAGGAAATGAGGGTCGCTAATCATAATAGGAAATGAGGGTCGCTATTCATAATAGGAGAAGAGGGTCGCTATTCATAATAGGAGAAGAGGGTCGCTATTCATAATAGGAAATGAGGGTCGCTATTCATAATAGAAGAAGAGGGTCGCTATTCATAATAGGAGAAGAGGGTCGCTATTCATAATAGGAGAAGAGGGTCGCTATTCATAATAGAAGAAGAGGGTCGCTATTCATAATAGGAGAATAGGGTCGCTATTCATAAAAGGAGAAGAGGGTCGCTATTCATAATAGAAGAAGAGGGTCGCTATTCATAATAGGAGTAGAGGGTCGCTATTGATAATAAGAAATGAGGGTCGCTATTCATAATAGAAGAAGAGGGTCGCTATTCATAATAGGAGAAGAGGGTCGCTATTCATAATAGGAGTAGGGGGTCGCTATTCATAATAAGAAATAAGGGTCGCTATTCATAATATGAAATGAGGGTTGCCATTCATAATACGAAATGAGGGTTGCTATTCATAATAAGAAATGAGGGTCGCTATTCATAATAGGAGTAGACGGTCGCTATTCATGATACGAAATGAGGTTCGCTATTCATAATACCCCCCCCCCTCGGCTACGTTCCTGGTCCTGTAGGGGGGGGGGGCGATATATAGCCCTGAATAGTTGTCTCTTTTTAAAGTAACTATATTTTATCTGTTATCTTTGATAATTATATAGAGCCAACCCCAGCTCATGTGGTGACGAAAAAAAGTAAAACATAACACACATGTAATCCTATCGTAAATTTTCCTCCTTGTTGGAAATCTTGCCCCATCACCCTGCCCCCGACTGATCTTATCCAGGCTACGCCACTGAGATATTAAGTACGCCAAGCAGGCCCATTATCCATTTTAGCTTGCTATTTAAGAAACTAGTAATTGTTTATACGACAATAATGTTTTTGTAGAAAGTAATTTTTATTAGGACTTATGGACCTACAAATTACTGAGCGGAATTGGACCTGACAATTGGACCTAAGCCCAGTATCTACCGATCCCCCGAGCCCCCCCCCCCCCCATCAGTACGCCCCGGCGCGGATCCAGAATTTTCCAATTGGGGGGGGGGGACGGAAATTTGAAAAATGCGCAGACCGTTTTTTCAACTCAACATACCAATACTGACAAGGTCATATTAGAAGCACGATACGGGTACCTAGAAGCAGGAACAATTTTGGAAAGGGGTGCAAGCTCACTTCACGTCTCTTGTCCGATATCAACATTCCCCGTTTTTAAGATATACATTTTTTTGACATTTTCATCTGGGAGGGGGGGGGGCTAAAGCCTCTTGCCCGATTATTTTCTAGTTCACAATTCTGCTTGTGAGCGAAACGAGCGAGCAAAAATTTGAGCATTATATGTTTTTTGTGAAAGTGTTATTTATCACCAAGATAAACGAGAAAAGATATCAAAAATTCATATTCGGGCAGCTTGCTGTCCCCCCCCCCCCTCCCCTCCCCCACCCATTACGCGCGAAAGCTTTGAACTTTCATTAATTATTAGAAAAAGAAGACGATTTGTTGTACCGTTCTCGACTCTTAATAATTGTCTGAATTCTATTCCCCCCTCTTGCGCAAAGCGCGTAAGTTTTGACCTTTCATTGTTTAATGCAATTATTAGAGAAAGAAGATGATTCGTTGTTCCATTCTCGACTCTTAATCCTTGTCTGAATTCAGTTTCCCCCCCTCCCGCGCAAAACGTGGAAGCTTTGATGTTTCATTAAATTATTAGAGAAAGAAGAGGATTTGAAGAGAAATGAATATATGATATGAATAGCGACCCCTTACTCCTATTATGAATAGCGACCCCCATTTCATATTATGAATAGCGACCCTCTTCTCCTATTATGAATAGCGACCCTCTTCTCCTATTATGTATAGCGACCATCTACTCCTATTATGAATAGCGACCCTCTTTTCCTATTATGAATAGCGACCCTCTTCTTCTATTATGAATAGTGACCCTCTTCTCCTATTATGAATAGCGACCCTCATTTCCTATTATGAATAGCGACCCTCTTCTCCTATTATGAATAGCGACCCTCTTCTCCTATTATGAATAGCGACCCTCTACTCCTATTATGAATAGCGACCCTCTTCTTCTATTATGAATAGCGACCCCCTTCTTCTATTATGAATAGCGACCCTCATTTCTTATTATGAATAGCGACCCTCTTCTCCTATTATGAATAGCGACCCTCTTCTTCTGTTATGAATAGCGACCCTCTTCTCCTTTTATGAATAGTGACCCTCATTTCTTATTATGAATAATGACCCTTATGAATAATAACCCTTATGAATAACGACCCTCATTTTGCATTATGAATAGCGACCCTCATTTTGTATTATGAATAGCGACCCTCATTTCGTATTATGAATAGCGACCCTCTTTCTGTGTTATGAATACCGACCCTTTTGTAATATTATGAATAGGGACCGTTATGAATAACGACCCCGTTTTCCTATTATGAATAGCGACCCTCTTCTAATATTATGAATACCGACCCTCTTCTTTGATTATGAATAGCGGTCCTTATGAATAATGACCCTTATGAATAATGACCCTTTTCTCCAATTATGAAAAGCGGACCTTATGAATAGCGGTCCTTATGAATAATGGACCTTATGAATAGCGGACCTTATGAATAGCGGTCCTTATGAATAGCGACATTGACCCATATAAATGTATGGTTTCCTTTAGTGAGTAAATGGCTACAGTGCATATGTCATATACCCGTAGGTGCTACATGCAATGTATTAAAGTTAACATTTTTTATTTGGTTCATTTATTATTATCATCCCATTTAACAGCTAAATTCATATCGAGTGATGAATTGTTTACAAAAACAGTCAATGTGAATGACATTGGAGTGATCATCAGCATGGATACTCGTTCTAATCCTGATGCAAGTGACAATGTAATTACTTGGATGAAAGATGGAAGTGAGGTTCTTACATCATTTGGTGGGCAGACTGAGATCACCTTCCCAAACCCAATCCAGACATCAGACCAAGGAATCTATGAGATCTACTATAATAACGAGAGGGATCAAAATAGAGGAGGATTATACAGACTCATCGTCCGAGCTATATGTGAGGTGTATTCCTGCTTAATTCAGATTGGGCTTCTTAGAAGAGGGGCAATTTCTTATTTATATAATATTGTTTGCTATGAGGCATGTACAAGGCATTGCTTCATATTTTGCCAAGAAATCTTTATTTTAGATTAATTTGATTATTATGCAAGTTACATGTGGATAATGAGCTTTACATATTCATTTACAATTCATTATCAATATAAAAAAAATGTTAGTTTAGAGCATTCTGGTAGATAATGTCCAAGTCTGATCTTCTTGGATGGCGCGTTATCTTATTAGATGGACAGCTCTTTCCCCATTGCAAATTTCATTTCAAAAGATTTATAAAACTTCAAATGATAAAATTCAGGTGTAAGCATGTCATGATCTGCGATGTGAATTTTTGAATAAAGGTTGTTTAAAATTACCCGTATGTATATTCAGAATGTGACAGAGCAGTAGTCTACGTCCGTTTTATATTCCCCTGCTTATCTTCTATCTTTTGTTCATCAATGTCATGATGTAATCTTTAGTGACATGTATAATAATTATTTTTCTCCCTTCCTTTCTCCGATAGAATGCCCTGCTGGTAAGTGGGGCCCCCCTGAGTGTTATGGTATCCGTGATAAATGCTACAATGGTGGAGTCTGTGATGACAAGTCTGGTCTATGTATCTGTCCTAACAACTTCAAGGGACCGAATTGTTTAGAAAGTAAGTAGGCAGCTCGGCTATAACCAGGGTAATATGTGTAAAGTGCCATGAGCGTCAGAGCCTGCATGGCGGATACCGATATCGATTTTTTATACACTGTAAATCAAGTGAATCAATGCAAAAATGAATGAAAAATAATAACCAGCAGGCGAAAAAATTTGCTTTGGTTGTTATCCCTTAATACCATATAAAATATCTAAATAATATCTAAATAAATGTCCCAACAACATTTCTCATTATGATCGACAAACCTTGCTATCCATGATATGGTAGGGCTTCATTCAATGTAGTAAAAAATATTATTTTTAAAGAGCATTAGACACCATCGGTAACTTGCAAAGGAGAAGCAACCATATTTGAAATTTATCTTATGAAATCTGTTTTCTCATGCAAGTCTATAAGGTTTTGATTTAACAATGCAACTAATTTTTGTTTCAGTTTGTAGAAATGATGGTGGAAATCGATTCGGATTGAACTGCGAGTTTGGATGTACTAGAACCAATGATCTTGCCACAAAATGTCATGGGTTTCTTTTTTGCCTACCTGATCCTTATGGATGTTCATGTGACGTCGGTGCCCATGGTCTATCATGTAACACACGTAAGTTCCTGATATTCTATTAATTTTGCTCAAATTTTAGTAGTGAAAACACATGTACCTAGGAGGCCTAAAAGTTATCATACATGTACATCTGCAATTCTCAGATAATTATAATTTTTCTTGGAATATAAAAAGCACATACCATAATGTGGCTGGGTTCATGAGTCAGGCCAGACGCAACTCAGTGGACAAACGAAGGAGAGGAAGAAGAAGAAGAAGAAGAAGAAGAAGAAGAAGAAGAAGAAGGAGGAGGAGGAGGACGAGGAGGACGAGGAGGAGGAGGAGGATAAGAAGAAGAGGATTAATAAGAAGTTATATGCACAATATTTCTTTCCTTCGAATGTATTGTATCTATCCATCTTGATTTTGCATTTTGAATTCTTTTACAGTTTGTACTCCTACTAGTAATACATATGGCCCGGGATGTTCACAGACATGCCACTGTGTAGATGGATCATCATGTAACATCTACAGTGGAATATGTACTGGTGGATGTCAGACTGGCTGGTCTGGGGACAACTGTCAAAGTAAGTCATGGTGCAGCAATGATAACAAATGATATGACAAAATTCCCTCTTACTAAAAAGTAAGATAAATCAGAATTGTACACTGCATGTAGCTATGTAATTGTTGTTCTTTTGTTTAATGTCTAACCCATTTGCCTACAGGACTTGGGGCGCCTGAATTGTACCCATCTGGAATAAGATAATTCACAATTATATTATTACTTGAGGTTATTATATTTTCTATTTTCGTAGACATACCCGCACCAAGTAGTGGTTTGTGGACAACTCCTTGTGTATACTGTTTTGATGTTTATTGATAGAGGAGATGAATGCTTCCTAGATCTATGAATACATAAATTTAACTAGTGAAGGCTCTATTAAACTCAAGAATATGTGTAATAATTTAAATCAATTTTGCAAAGAAAAAAACTAAAACTTTTGCAATAGAAGCAATCTAAATTTGTGAAGTACATCTGATATATTCTGTATCACATCTGATATTATTTGCTAGTAGTAATTGCTAAATTGTGATTTCTAAAATATGTTCTTATCATCCACACAGTTCCGGATGAATGTGAAGCCAGTTACTATGGATCTCAATGCACTGATAAATGTCATTGCTTGAATGATGAACCATGTGATGAAGATACTGGAGAGTGCCCTGAGCAGAGGTGCGCTCTAGGATATAAAGTACGCAGTACTGGCAAGGTCATTTGTCAAGGTAAAATACTATTTTTCAATAAAGGGTGTTGAATTTTCAACATCAATTCCTTTTCCTTTATCTCCAGACTACACACAACATGAACATCAAGTATGGTGCAGCGTGCATCATACACCAGGATTGTTTTTTGTACACATTTTTGAACACTCATAAATACATGTATGTATATTGGTCATATCAACCACATCTATGTACGTAGTGCTGCGATATTAAATACATTATTATAATGTATACTCCGGAGGAGGATTCTAGTATACAAATATTGACTGCTTTGAGGAGCATGATGAAACTGTTGCCCAAGGTAATCTTGAAACTGTACTCTGCCTCAAGAGTTTATTAAATTATGACCTCAAAAATCAGCAGTCATTGTTTGGTGTACGATACTTGTTTCCTGTCATTATCGTACACAAACCAAGTTTTTAGCTTCGACCCTTGACCCAACAGTGACCTGACACTAACCCTAAACCTTAAATAAAACCCAATTGCAACCCGAACCCTAACGAATACCTTTGATGAAATACAGCCCGGAACAACTGTCCCAGGAGCAAACGTCTGATCTCCATAGAATACCTACTAATGAATCACATAGCAATCCTCAGCTGTATTCTGTAGCAGAGAGAGAGAGAGAGAGAGCTGTATCCTAATTGTGACTATAAGTTATTGTCTTAAAATGAAGAGTTGCAGCCAGCATGGTTGATTGTCCACCTGAAAGTAGTAATCGAGAGAACAGCAGATCTAGAGGTGGTCCCTGAACTGCTAGCTGCAACAGATTGTTAGTAGTAATGGACCTTCACTTATTAAGTTAAACTAACTCACAGTGACATGGGTCAGAAGAAAATCTACTCGTTTCACCTGATCGAAATAATTTGATTTTTGTGTTAACAAGCCTGTTTCCAGTAGACCCAAGCCAAAGTTATCTTTGCCTTTAGTAATCAACGATAATCATTGACCAGATGTTTCCAATAAACATGACTTTTGTTTTATGTTTCCAGAGTGTGAAGGGATACCTTTGGTTTGGATTGTCTTCAGCAATGTCATTGTGCTCAAGTGGCTTGCGAGACGGAGAGGGGTCTTTGCAAGGGATAATGCCTTGAAAGCTGGATTGAACCTCACTGCAGTCAAAGTAATTATACCCAGCATATTGTGATCTGGTTTGTCTTCTTCTTCTGCTGAAAAAACGTTCAGATTAAGAAAGCAGCTTGGAGTGCATATGAAACTATGTGTGCATGTATTTCATAACGTTTAGCTGTAATTCACAATCTTGCTCAATAGGCTTATGGAGCAAGTAAGGGGCTCCATTGGTGTCAGCACTTGGCAGATAGCGGCGCTATATAAATGACCATATGATTATTTATTTATTTTTTTTTTTTTTTGTAGACACTTGAACATGTACACATAAGTTTACAAACTATTTTGTGTTGTTTCTGTTTATAAAGTCCATTTCATATTTTAAGGACGTTTCTCCTATCCTATACACGTAGTGAATAGATCCACAACAAAAAATATTGAAATGATTATCGGTTATTGGGAGGTTTTTGTAGTACAAACAGTAGTTTCATAAAGCATGTGTGATTTGCATACCAGGACTATTGCATTGATAAATATTACGCAATTGGATTTTAAACAAAATAATCAGATCAATATCTCCCCTTGTTTAGGTACACCTGTATTACATGTACAAGTTTATTTGTGGTAGTTTTTTTATAAACTTGCTTGGTTCGTGATAGAAATACTAATCCAATGATGTAACTGGGTTGCACATTTGTATTTAATGTTTTGTAATTTTACTTGGTTTGTGATAGGAATTTCAAAATTATAAGTAATTGGTCATTCTTTCTAAGAGAAATAATTCCATTCATATATTTTTTAATATCATGATTGATTAATGTTCTAAAAAGTGCATATATAATGATGAAATGCTTAATAAAGCGAGCAGGATTTGTGTTCAAAATTGTGTTTATTGTTTAATGTTTTTCTTTTCTTGGTTCTTTAACAGGAATATGCAGATTGGTTCCAGTGAGAGTGAACCCATATCAACCATCTAGCTTCACATGTTATGTTGAGGGCATCCCACTTCCCGATGCATCCTCAGTTGATCTTTACAGACGTACTGGAAGCACCAATAACAGGACAGGAATCACCAGGAGATCTAGCACGGTCTCAGGGTCAGAAAGAGCTGTTGTCTTTGATGTTGATAGTGTGTATCCACAGGAAGATGGGGGATATGAGTGCATTATTGTTGAAAGTATAGGCTATCCCAGTATGCCTACTACTGACGCAACCTATGGTGAGCAAACTGTGTGACATCGCTTTAATCAAATGTAACTCTGTGAGATACCTGTTTAATAGAAAGTATGAATTTACTTTTTGTACATGCATTCTCAGTCATGTTGTCTGCATCCAGGCCGGCCGGGTCACAGGGGATTGCATCAGTTATGCAAGCGCGTAGCCAGGATTTCATTTTAGGGGGGAGGTAGTGAGCACGCGAAGCGAGCGAATCACTTACAGAGCGCGCGTAAAGCGCTCCCTAGGGGCGTGGGTGCAGGGAGGGGGAAGTTTCCCCCCCCCCCCCTCCCGCGCGAAGCGCGAAAGCTTTCACGTTTCATCAAATTATTAGAGAAAGAAGACGATTCGTTGGACCGTTCTCGACTCTTAATCCTTATCGAAATTCAGTTTCTTTTGACGTTTCATTAGAGAAAGAAGACGATTCGTTGTACCGTCCTCGAATCTTAATCCTTGTTTGAATCAAGTTCCCCTTCCTCCGCGCATAGAGCGGAAGTTCTGACATTTCATTAAATTATTAAAGAATTCAAAGAAAGAAGACGATTCGTTGTACCATTCTCGATCGACTCTTAATTCTTGTCTGAATTCAGTCCCCGCCCCCCCCCCTTTTGAAGCTTTGACGTTTCATTAAATTATAGGAGAAAGAAGACGATTCGTTTTACAGTTCTCGACTCTAAATCCTTGTCTGAATTCAGTTTCCCCGCTCCCGCGCGAAGTGGAAGCTTTGACGTTTCATAAATTATTAGAGAAAGAAGACGAATCGTTGTACCGTTCTCGACTCTTAATCCTTTTTCTTCCTACGTCCTCTTCCTTTTTTTTTTTTTTCTCTCTCTCTTTTTTTTGGCCGGCGTTTTTTGGGGGGGCGACCGCCCCCACCGCCCCCCCTGGCTACGCGCCTGCAGTTATGTTGTTGGAGGCTATGGTTGTTTCTGACCTTTCATGTCGAATGATGAGGCAGGCACATATGTCTTCCCTCTCCATGTAATACAAATCACAACACTGCAACCCCCAACAGCAACTGTTACAACAACAACCACAACCACAACTACATCACAAACCAGCATAACAACTACAACAAAAACAACAAAAACAACATTTTCATCAGCTGTAACAACAACAACAACATAATGTTGCAAAATATGTGTGAAGTGTTCAGTAATACAAACAAATGGCTGGGCCATGAGGGCATGCTGAATAAACCGATATCTATTAATATTAACATGGAATGTCTGTTCCTATATTGATACAGTTGTTTGTGCAGGCAAGTCTCATCATGTACATTGACCCGTACATAAGCCCTACTGATAACTGCCCTACATGATTGTGAATGAATTAATATACTTTATATTCAATATAATTGTATCATAATGTCATCGGATTCAAGCTCGCTCACACACAACGTATGCACATTTCACGCATCATACATTTGCAGTTCTGTAAGATATCAGAATTGAATTATTGTGTAATTTTGACTTTGTGGAAGAGTATAAGTGTATCATTAATTTTGACTGGTATTTCTATAAATTGTGTTTTTTCTTCAGTTTTGCCAGTCATTGAGAACGCACCAGTGATAGTGAGTACTACGTCAACTACAGTTGATCTTCGATGGAACTCATGGTCTGAAGAAGCTGACATAGGTGATCCTCCTCTGGTAGGATATGATGTCTTTGTAGAGAGGGATGGTGACTGGGTAACGGATCAGAGAGTAGAGCAACCCACAACATCAACCATCGTTAGTAACCTGACACCCGACACAGAATACATGTTTCGTGTAGCAGCAGTGAGGGAAGGAACAGGTGGAACAGGACCTTTGTCTCCTAGCAGCAGCATAATAACCCGCTGTAGAAGTAAGGTTTAAAACTTGAGAAAAAACTAGACGTTACGTGCTATTATTTGTTCACATTTGTTTAGCTTGATTCGGTACATTTATCTATAAATATAGGTACGTGCATTACGTTATTCATAAATGATTTGTACATATATTTGGTATA